TGATTCTGAGTCTTTGGGACTTTATTGGTAGGCCTATTGATGCTTTCTAATTTATGATTGAGTGTACCTCTATCGCTGGTTGATTGCCACCAAGTTCTAGCCATTCAACAGCCCAACTATATCCTACACAGCTGCCAGTCCTCTCCACATTCAGTTTTCCAACCCCAAAAGTCTTCTCTAGAATCTCTTTCATTTTCTTTTCTGTAGTCGTTGCTTCAGCGTCTGTTGTAAAATACAATCACAGTGAAGAATAATATAAAGACAAGCGAATTGTGCTACACTGGTAATAGGGAGCTTCCGATTGCACGACGACGGTAGGACATAGAACGTAATGACGTTAGTAAAAGTCATCTGGGCATGCGTGAACGTCGCGTGAATTGTAGGACGCAACTTTGCCAAATACGCCCGGTAAAATTGTCACGCATGAGTGATTCCGTTTTGGCGTCGCGTCGTCGCGGAAATCGGAAGCTCCCTATATCATATATTCTAGAACTTTTGTCAGGTCAGGTCTAAAAACATGCGGGGACTTAATTATAAACGCCTCCAATAATAATCGGTTTTATATCCGATATCACCAACACGCTATGGACTGACAGAAGAACTTAGGCGTACCGATAGAACAACTTTCAGTGGATGGCATCATTAGGTCTTTAGGTCTTACGATTTGATTGGTTTGGCTAATAACATGGTTGATCAGCATAGAAAATGAACAAAGCACATGCAATGCAAAATAACAAGCTTGCTCTCAATATTTCTTTGTCTGAACTTGAGCACCTGTCACCATAACCACAACAACACAGCTCTCACATGTGCTCCGACAGTATACTATAAAACAATCACGTTAGGCAATGGTGGGTAGAATGATGATAATTTGATAACCTGTCTGTAAGTTACCTGCATACTTGTCTTTCCAGGAAAGACTGAAATTCCCCGTGACTGGTGGAGAAGAAGCCTCAATCCTTTCAATCGTTATTGTCGCATCATCAGGCCACGATGAATCACTAAATGTTACTGACTCGTCATCAGTAGAACCCTGTTCAACAGTAGCATCCTTAATCCCAAGCAAAGGATAGTCATAACCACAGTTTGCTGCTATAAATGTGACGTCAAAATCACCATCCAATTTCTCTACTGTTATGTCCGTCATAAGAATGTCATTTGGTCTTGCTGGTGGATGAGAAGGCGAAGGCATGTCTGGAGAGAAGATAACAAAAAAAATCAAACGTGAACAAAACATTGTATTGATGTTTGAGCAGAGCAGCAAAACAAATCTAAATGATTACAAACCAAGGCTCTGTTTACCCTATCCCCTCAACCAAAACTTTATAACATTATAATTCATCCTTGTCACTACCGATATGGTGTGGATTCAGTCTGTCAATTTTCAAATATTGATAGGTTTCTAAGCTTTTTTTTTTTTTGTTTCAAAAAATGCTTGCTCATTGATTATGTCGCATTATATCATTGTTAATGTGTTAAATGACGTATAGATGAATTATTGTAAACCTATATAACATTTTTAAAATAAACATTTAAATATAGTAGGCCTTAAATTGAACGTAAATGTAAAATAAAATATTGTATAGTATCATGTGCTGGATAAAATACTTACATTCTACTTGTTGGGCTCCAATATTGAAGTTGTCAATGTAAAAATCTTCTGCAGAATTTTCATCTTTATTCAATTTGACCCTTACGACATCAAAAAATGAGCCCGGTTTCATTCGTGAAGTAAGCCAACTATCTTCTGATATATAATCATAAGTGTTGAAGCAGACGTACCGCCAACTGATTAAAAAAGAGAGACTGTCGCATTTACCTTGGTTTCCATACAATCGCTACACGCTATCGCAGACAGCATTCGGTCATGCTGATTGGTTGGGCGATTGGGGAGCCTTCCCAATGGCGTAGGGACTGTTACGCAGTCAACGGTTGCACTGAAAATACTGTAGCGACAGTGTTGCGACTTTAAGGAAACCAGACTTAAGGCCTGTTTATACTTCAATGATAACGATAACGATAAAAAAGATAAAAACCGATTGTTCATATAGAAAATATAAGAAATAAGAGATTTTTTACACTAGGACGATTCGATAACGATTTATCGTGTATAAGATAACAAAATATTTTAACAAATCAAATCAGATGACATCATAATCATGAAAAAACGATAAAATCGTTGATAATACTACGATTTTAATGTTTTTCCATGGTTATGACGTCATCTGATATGATTTGTCAAAATATTTTGTTATCGCATAACTAATAAATCGATATCGAATCGTTCTGTGTAAAAACTTTCCTTATTTCTTTTATTTTCTATATGAACATTTGCTTTTTAGCTTTTTTTTTTTTATCGTTATCGTTATCGTTGAAGTACGGTATAAACAGGCCTTTTTACAAAACTGTGAAGGTATTTTGAATCAAAAGAATCAAACAGGCACAATAACAGTATGAAATGAAATTATTCAGAGGCATAGAAAGTAGGCATCATCATCATCATCATTATTATTATTATTATTATTATTATTATTATTATATTTGTAAAAATATGTACCATACAGAATAGATCTAACTACTGACGATATATGGACCTTCCCGCCAAGCCTGCCCATTGGATATTTTTGCTAAGATCAATACAATATGACAGTGTTAATGTAAGTGATACTTGGTTTCTATAAATGTGCTACACGTTGTCGATAGCCATTCTGCTTACTACTGACTACTCATGACAGAATTACCTACTGTATCCCATAAAGTATTACCACTAGCTCGAGATTGCTTCCCCTAGACCATGGGCTATGTTTATCTTCATAGGGTTGCTCGTACATCCGAGTGTACATACAAGGCTCATTTAAAAATCTGTGTATCATTTGAATAACTAAGCTCAATGAGATGTAGTTTAATTCTATACTTTAAACACATTTTTTATTTCCTGTATATTATTGTCAAAGAATGATTGATACTCACTAACTGTTTTCTACATATATTGAGAAAAGAATCACGTGGGATGATTGGTCAGGGATTATGTATCGTTGGCAACGTGTCGGCAGAGTTCAGCCTGGTTCAAGTATGGTTCAACATTTCCGGGCCGATGCGACACGTCACTAAAACCGGGCACTCACAGCGTCGTACGACCGTCGCACGACGAACTCAAGTCCGCTCCCTGCGAGCGCTAGTCGACGCGACGCTGTCTGCTGGTTGTCGGTGGCAGTCTGAACGGATCGTCATTAAAAACGATCAGTTGGGCGCGCGTAGTCGCGTTGCTTTCTTCATAGAATCGCGTCAGCAGACGACAGTCAGGCGCAGTGAATGCCCAAATTAACGAATCTGCCAACCATTCCGTTGCGTCGGGGACATTTGCGTAGACTACAGTTAGCGACAGTTTAGATATTTTATGGAAACGTACGTACTTTTGTTTGATCGTATTTTTGATACGTATCGTGGGGAAGCGCATGTTCCTGCATCAGTTATGATTAGGTATTAGTTAATAGGTTTGATTGACACACCACAATTGCCTATTAGCCCAATCATATGAAGACACGGTACAGTCTATGGTAAAATCTAAACCCACAAATTAAAATGTTGCTTATTTTGAATTGTTGAAACAAGTTTTTAACTTTCAGTGGCAAGACATGCATAAATGACTTTATTTTTTAAAATACATGTCAGTCATGGTATAAACGTAGGCCTATAAAATCGGTATTGTAAAGGTGAAGATAAAAGATAAGCTAACAAGGTAGCAGAGTAGCCAACTCCTAACGTCATTGCACTGATTTGCGTATGGACGTGGTCCGAGACTACCTAGCCGCCATAAAGAAGCACTTATGTTCACATTATTCCACAACGACTGGGACTGAAACCAACCATAGAATCAGGGTAACGCCCTACTCTTCCGAAATATGCAATGTTCTTAAAAGTCAAAACGAGACAGATGTGTGTGTTAATTGGACCTCAATTTGAAGTCATTGTTCGAAAAGACATATTGTACAAAACCGAATCCTGACGAGGAGCGGCTCACCTTACCACTCGGCCGCCTGTCTGGCACCTAAATGATATACATTTTAAATGAATGTTAATAGCTTGCTTTAAAACACAACTACACATTTAATATTAAATGTTGTTGTTCAAGATAGTAAAGTGAACACTGTCAGTACATATTTACAATTAGGTTTAACGTTTGCGTAACATAACAATCACCCTTTGATTGTATTTATTTGTTGTAATGTAAATAATAAATTACCTTGTGCGCACAGAGAGACCGTCTATGTAGTAGTTTCTGAAATTAGATCTGTCGTTATTCCCATCATTCCAATCTATTTTGAATGTTATTTTATTTGAAATTGCACCCTTGTATGCGAAACATATCTGTAACAAAACATAGTGTACTAATGATCAAGAAAAATAGGGAGTAGTACAGCTTTTTGTGTTTCTATCTGTTTTGATTTATGAAATGTTTCTCAGTTTGTTATTTTCTCTGCTGGGATCTGCGGAGGACCAGGGATTTTATTTAGCAGTCCCCAAGTATAAACAATAAAATAAAGAAAGAATGAAAGAAGAAAAAAGAAATATATGAAAATCAATTCCGTTGATTTTGTACGCTAATGAAAAAAAAACGTTCATATAATTTATGTATATAGAATTTAAATCAAGTTTGCTGCGTAGCACCGTAAACACAAAAGACACAAATAACTGTGCTCAAATAGCAATATGTTGTAATAAGTGTATCAACCACATCAACAAAAAGTTCCTTTATATTTCAGTTATATGAAAAAGTGTCTCTGGCTGGATTCGAACCTGCAAACTCTCGCCGTCAAGGTGGGCATCATATCCATTAGACTTCTCTCATACAACTAAATCTCTCACACATAAAATACTAGATGTTGATATTTCTTTATCATATGTCAACACGACAAATCTAGAACGATTGTAGTTAAGGTATACAACCGTGTCTCAAATTGGACGACATAAACTGCACGACCACAAAAACCAACAGCATAATAACTTTAAATTGCTGGAGAACCGAGCAGTGAAAATTATTCTTCTGCATTTTTGAAGTTTTCTTTGTTTGATTTTCTTGTAGTACCGGTATCAGGATGTTTAATTTTCCCTTTTGTTCATGAATCTTACATTGTCATCATTATTAGTATCATCTCATATATTTACCTGTCCAGCTGTTTGAGCATTAAATGAATCTAAATTGACGCCATCAGACGTTTTAGTCTTGTCTTTATAGTAGACATAGTTAGGATTCTTTAGAGAAACATGCCCACAAAACGGCTCAATGTCTGTTACACGTTCACCAGTAATGTATCCGACAGGTTCTTCTTCGTAATCAATAAAATAATCTCCAACAGGACCGCTCCTCTGGCAGTCAACACCAACCATGTCAAACACTGCATTTCGAACTTCTTCTGCAGACGAGGAACTGGAGAGCGCAATGCTGCTTACTCCATCCAATGTGAGGACAAAGTTATCAATTGATGAATTTCCTGCATTAATTGATATTCTCTGAAAAGTAAGTAAAATTAAATGAATAAATTCATGAGAAAAAATATACCTTTAAGGACAATCCCCTATGTACAATTGCTTTTTTCTAATAACATTTAATACAGTATGATAGTTTGTATAGGGTTATGCCTCTACCTGCAGTTAATATATACTTGTATATATTCTTATATGTTTTATTATAAAACACTTTCGGTGTTAATTACTTTGATCTGTGTTTATTGACAGTTACTAACCCATTTGAGATATTTATTGCGCTTTATACTAGGTTTTACATATTATTTTAAAAGCTATTTAAACTTTCTTATCAAATGGCAAATGTATATACTCCACTTTCCCAACAATAAATTACACAGGGAACAGGCAAATATATATACTGTAGGTATATATATATATATATATATATCTGTCTCTTATACATATGATCCATACAATCATATACAACCATAAGAGTAAACAGTTTCACCATCAATATTTAATTATCGTAACAATTGTTAAATTAATTATGTAATTTATTATTTTAATTAACATGTCAAGCTTACTAACCTGTTTTTCTGCTTGTAAGGTAGAGCTAATTTGAATTATTTGTTTTTCGTCTGAAGCAATAGAAAGCTGTGAGTGACTATAAGGAAGATCGTACATCAATAGACCAACACGTAGATAATCGGCTCCCCATCCTTCTCTGAAAAAGGCTTCCAAATAATATCGATTCCCGCTAACAAGGCTCATTGGTGCTGAGATTTGCTCTGTGGGACGTGTATAGTAGCTATTGGTGTATCTAGAATTAAAGGCAATCTTTGCCTAAGAGTGAAGATTGAAAGAGCATTATAAAGAAATAAATTAATTAAAACAAACGTAAATGATAAATTATTAAGCAATAAACAAATGTACATTAAAATATAATGATTTACAAAGCCAAAAAAAAAATTAAATATATTATAAGTTTAGTAATTTTCCAAGTGATATTTCTTTTTATGTATTTTGAAAGTTTTGTCCATTTTTACCGTTAATTTTGAATATAATAGTTTATAATGTTCATGTATTTTTGAAAATGCATTAATTTCAGCCTCTGTCTACAATTTGACAATATTTTATATTAAATGAAAAAAAAAATAAAAACATATATCACAAGATAATCAAACAAGATTAGATTAACTTGATATCTCAAAAGATTTGATTTGATTTGATAGAAGAGAAATAGAAACAGTGGAAGAGATGTATTGAGTATTGTAGCTTAGAATAAACAAGTTGGTGACCGGAATTCAATACTGTTCATTGGCACGTTTATGGGATAAGACTATAACAATCAAATGCTAAATTTCTTTGTCTGTTTATGTTGAAAGTTCCTATTTTTAAAAGAAGCATTGAAGTTTGGTAGTAAATCCAGTATCATAAACTATTTAAATACAATTTACGGTTGAATTAGTATTGTTTACAAGGTTTTGTAATTATATGTTTATGTAACTGTACGTTGCATTACGTTAAACGTTCGATTAGGCATTATATCTGGCAATTCACACATAAATGTATGACTGATAAAAAGTGTTGACTAGAATGCTATATTGCTTGAATAACATTTTACTACAATCTTGAGCTATTATGCCATATGACCGTTGGTTAACGAATCTTATGGAAGGCAGTCGCCGCCAAAAATACAGTTACAAACGAACAACCTACTCGCAAAAACGTACAACCTACTCGCAGAAACCTACAACGTACACACTGTAAAGGACAACGCTAGACTTGCACAGAAACGTACAACGTATTAGCAAAAACAGACAACAAAAGACACTCACAGAAACGAACAACCTACTTCCAGGAACTAACAACGTAGTCGCAGAAATGGATGCGCACAGCACTCTCAAAAAAGGACAACGGAATCGTCTATTTCAAGATAGGTCAGCAAAATCTCGCATCTTATGGCTGAATGTAATTTTCTCCTTAAACATAGCCCCCTCTATAATACTTGCCTCTCAATATATGAGAAGCTCGTTATTTTAAGCCATTTTGTCCTAAAACACCGATGGATAACAATTCCGAGGCTGTGTTAATGTTATGCAGGCAAAATGAAATAGGGTGCGCGGCAGGTGGGATGGACGAGGAGAATCAGAATACTATTTTGCGCCTTAAAGAGGTAGTTCATTTGTTAGAAGTTGAAGGGGTTGATTCATCCGGCATTGCATCAAATCGATGCTATATGTAGGGAGTGCATACATTTAAGTGTACCCCCTGAAATTGTATATTTAATTACTGAAGCGGCAAGAGTTTTAAAAGAAGAAAATCAGCAGCGGCGTGAAAGTGAAGGGCCTCCTACTACAGGTGTTTTCGGATATAGGGCCAGACCAACATCTACAAATTCGCTTCGCTTAGTTTTTTAAGAATATTTCCAGAAAAAAAAATAATGTGACATTTTAAATAATATAAAGTTCATGCCAGTGTTATAAAATTTATACGCGCGCACGCTGTTTGTAACTTAACAACATGGCGTCATGCGCCTAGTGTGGCCAAATTCTATCTGCGGATCTGCAAAGGCGTATACAGCTTTAGTCTACAAGAGTTTGGGAGACGACAATCGGGGCTGAATGTATCCCTTACAAGCCTAACGTTTTTGGTGTAATGTTAATAGGGGCTTCAAAGTCTATAATATAATTATTATTTAGGTATAAAAGAAATTACAACAACACTTTAAAAAAGGTTACAGTTTTATACAATTTCATCTCTCTTTGTACACACAGTGGACATCATCAGTCTATTCGTCTGATGAAAGTCCAGGAGCAGGTTTATCATAAAAGGGGCTTTTGTGGCTACAGTCCCAGAGGCCGCAATGGGGAAAATTAGTCCCCCGAACCGGACCCCAGGAAAAATTTAGTTTTATGTTTTAGCCACAGAGTATTTAGGCCCACTTGCAATTACAGCGCAGGCCCCATAGCCCTTAAATCCGGCCCTGTGTCATGAAAGTTTTACGTATGGACGATAGCTAGATATTAAATTTAAAACAAGTTATTCTTGCTGTCATTTATTTTATATTGTTTATAGCAGACTAACGCGGCTACACTTTTTAATCATTATGATGTCTATTATTTACGTATAACTGTCCCTATACTGTATATTACGGTACTTCGAATGACAGATACGACAGTACTGATAGGACATCTGCTTCAATGAATAATTAAAAAATAATACTTTGGTAGTAGTGTCACCACATGGTGGTTTTAAATTGTTTAAGAAAATGACTTTCCCCTACTGTTAGTGATGGTGTGCGAGATGCCACCACCGGGGTTAGTGCCTTGACCCCGCAGCAAATCCGCAGCTTGATTTAGAAGCCTTCCGGCCTCCTTCAGTGAATTGTTATCCATCGGTGTTTTGGGAGAAAATGACTTAAAATAATTAGCTTTTGTTATCTTGAGAGGCAAGTATTACAGAGGGGGCTATGCTTAGGAAGAAAATTACATTCAGCCTTAAGATGCGATATTTTGCTGACCTATCTTGAAATGGACGATTCCGTTGTCCTTTTCTGAGAGTGCTGTGCGCATCCATTTCTGCGACTACGTTGTTCGTTTCTGTGAGTGTCTTTTGTTGTCTGTTGTTGCTAATACGTTGTACGTTTCTGTGAAAGTCTAACTTTGTCCTTTACAGAGTGCACGTTGTTTTTGTAGGTTTCTGCGAGTAGGTTGTTCGTTTCTGCGAGCAGGTTGTTCGTTTCTGCGAGTAGGTTGTTCATTTCTGCGAGCAGGTTGTTCGTTTCTGCGAGTAGGTTGTTCGTTTTTGCGAGTAGGTTTTACGTTTTTGCGAGTAGGTTGTTCGTTTGTAAGTGTATTTTTGGGAGCGATTGCCTTCCATAGAATCTAATAACTCTAGTCTGTGAGCGTTAAGGTAAACTCAAACAGGGTCGTAGGACGCAGCCCGACGCATTAGTTAAGCTTGGCACTTACTGCGCATTCGCCCGACGGTCGTCGGCCGACTCGATTTTATGAAGGAGGACGCAATTCGCAATGACGCACGCGCAACGGACCGTTTTAATAAAGATCCGTTCAAACTGCCACCGACAACCAGCAGACGGCGTCGTGTCGTCGTTTAGCATTCACAAAGAAAGGGGTTGGATTCGTCGTTGAATCCTGACGAGATAGGTTTGCGTCTGGTGCAGAATATTAAAAATGTTTAATATTCTCACAACGTCCTAAAGGCCGATTTTTGGTAGCAGCCTTAAGGGATCGTCATCAGGGGTGGCGCCAGGATTTGCCCGACGGGGTGGGGGGGGGGGGCGATTTCCCCGACGAGAAGGCCGATTCCCCGACGAGGGGTCAGATTTCCCTGACGAAAGCAAAGTGGGCGTCGTCGAGCTTCGTTTTAAAGTTTTCGAAAGTGGTCCTGGGGACGAAGCCCCTAAAAATTTTGACAATTTAGGAATTTCAAAGGCTTATTTAATCGATTTTATAGTCTACTAATATGTAGAAAATACATATACTTTTTTTCTCCCCAACGAATTGTGCTTTTTCTCCCCGATGGGGGAGCCCCCCCCCCACTGGCGCCACCCCTGATCGTCATTAAAAACGATCTGTGTCCGCGCGTTGTTTTTCAGAGTTGCTTCGAGATCGTCGGGCGCATTGAGTGACCAGCTTATATTACATGGGCTGTTATGCACACTTTCAATAACATTTCTTATATGCGACTGTATAGGTATAAACAACTTACTTTATCTTCTGGGTTTTCTGTCATGCTGAAGAATAATTCTGACTCATCATCGCTGTATATCATGAATCTGAATTCACCATCGTACGGGGCAACAAAGTAACCCCGGTAACGAGCTGAATAATGGTCAGTCTCACCAAACGACGGTTCAGCAGGAGAACTGAACTGGTCAGTAATCTCAACATTGTAATCATTTGCAGAAGTGTTCCATATAGCGTTCGAGAAATCACTAATAAATGTAAACTGTGTGTTAATTTTGTAGAAAAAAAAAAATCCTAATAATTAAAAAGAAATGTTTTGGTGGTTGTTGAGGTCAAGATTGCTAAGATAATTATGATGATCTTAATAATGCGGTGACGTCGACAGTGAAAATTAAGATAATAATTATTATGATAAATTAATTTTAAAATGGCATAATTAGGGCAACTTACTTATTTACTTGAGTATCCTTCCAAACTTCTCTGAAAATTCCCCTGCCACCTGGAAATGAAGTATGGTTGCTGGGTTGTGCCCCAGTTATGCATTTTATGGCAGTGTCCGTAACATCTACTATGTTGCAATCCACGCCACCTACTTTCACGCCAACTCCTTCAGCATTTAGGCCAAAATATTTGCCTGCTACTGTAATAAGTGTACCGCCCTCTACGCTTCCTTCGTCTGGAGTTACACCAGTAACATCTGAAAATTAGTTTGAAAAACATTATCAATATCGTATAATTAAATATTTTACATCCAATTTCTTTGATTTGATTGACAGATGGATAATGAATAAATTAATTAATATTCCACACAGAGTAGAGGAGACTGTACTATGTGTCGGTTTGCATTGGGTTGCTGTTGTCAATGTCATATTCGTTGATGTTAATTTTGTTGTTATTGTCGTTTGCGGTTATTCTTGCCACTGCTTTAGATTGACTCCTACAGCTACGTTAAGCAAATAATTACTGTAAAATACATGAGCAAATTCGCCCTTGACTTATTATAACATTACGCAAGTTAGAAAAACTATAATGCACTGACTTCTGCAGGGTTGGGTTATTTAGCGTAAATGGTAGGAACCCTCAATATCACCCTCGCTAGTATCACTACAGCATTATTTGAGTTTCACTTACTGCGAGTTAGTTTTCATATTTATTAATGTTTTTATTTTATTTATTTTTTTTTTTTTTGGTAATTAATTATTTATTTATTTGTTCTTTATACTGGCTTTCCTCTTCAGTAACAAATTACTGTTCTCCCAGAGGGCCCAGTACACATAAAACAGTCCAAGACACACAAGACAAACATACACACATGCTGCTTAACACACACTATGAGGTTCTATAGGGAGTGCAGATGTTTTGAACGTGAGAAAAGGTCCTGCAACTGACAGGAATTGAACCCATGACCCTGGGATTGGAAGGCAAGCATCTTAACCACCAAGCTATTCAACTCCACTCCAAATTACATCAATTATCGTTATGACAGTAAGGAAAAGACCTAATTTTCAGTTTTACCAACAGACATAGTAAGTCTAGCTATTATTGATTGACCGACTAAACGAATGATAAAAAAAAAAATGTGTGATATTGCAAACATCCTTACCTGCATGCATCTGAAACAAATATATGTCACCAGGGAAACTAACAGAAAGAGCCTCCTTGTTCGTATATGACTGCCCGTATTCAGATGTTACTACAAATGTTATATTCTTTGAGTCTACGAATGAAATATTAAAAAATACCTATAATTACATCACACGTATAATATACTGCATATACAGCATAAAAACAATTATCAGGAAACAATGAATGTATAAACTTTAGAAACATAATTGTGGTATAGAGTGATTAATATATATATATATATATATATATATATATATTATCATCAAAGCAAATCATCTTGTCATCTATTATATAGTTTAACAGTGTTAACGGCTACCTTGATTTATATATATATATATATATATATATATATGGGTGTGTGTGTATGTATATATGTGTATATTTATATCCATTATATATCCATTATGTCCTTATTTAAACAATGTATATGTACGTTTGATGATTTATATTATATTTATTCAACAGTGTTAACGGCTAACTCCCTTCAATATCATACATATATATACATATACATACATATACATATACAAGTTTACATACACACACATTATATACAAGTAACACATACACACACACACTATTATATAAAAGCCTGGCCAAACTGCTTGAAAACGCATGAAACCGACCACTTTGGACGTGCTTTTATAATACTCCGTTAATATTGCACCGATTTTGTTGGCCAGCCGTTTCGGTAACGTGTCCACAATTTATTTAGAAATAATGTTACTTTATTTATAAATTCTAAATCAGTATTACTTTATCGGAATATGTTTTTTACTGCGAGCGCATCCGAAAACTCTCAGTGTATGGCAGGTAACCTGAAGCAACCTAAAATATGGGGTCGGCTTTCACAAAGCATCTCTCATTCATGATCGCCTGACCCAATTTTCATGGCAGTTTCATTATCAAAAAGAGAATAAATCAAGCTTTCTTGTCATCGCCAGAATTCATTATTATTATTATTATTATTATTATTATTATTATTATTATTATTATTATTATCTAAAAATTCATTTCATTGTCATACTTTGGTCGTCGGAACGCCCACTTATCTAATGGAGCAAAATTAAAATATTGGACAATCTCCAATCTTAAAGAGTATATTCGAAATTTAGCAACGTCTTGATGAAAAACTGCGATTTCTCAACCAATATTTGCCCGAACGACGTGATTTTTGTTTTAGAGTTATAAATAATAATTTTCTTTATTATATTGCATTTATCATGAAGCTGCAAATTTCAATAATTAATAGTTTTAAAACGTTGAACTATTATAAATTAATTTCAACGGCCTGATTCCGGTCTCTATAAGGCCACACTAAGGTCAGCGGGCCCAACCATTATACAGTTCAGGTCAGGTAGTAAAAAGTGCTTAGTTCCATTAATTTATACTATTCAAGGAAATTGCTATTCAATGCTTGATTACATCATACTGTAGTTTCTGCTGCGTATAGTTATTCTATTATGAAATCATATATTTTTTACTCTGCTTGTTAATGAAAGTGCTTTGTAAAATGTCACCTTTATTTAAGTGGTAGTGTCGAATAGGATACGGTTATGGAGTGCGATATCGCTCAGTATTCGGTTCCTGAACTGCAGTTCAATTAGAAATTTACTGCAGCGAGTTCTTTGACCTCTGATTGGTCAAAATATGCATGGAGGGCGCTAAACTCGCAGCGGTAACTTAAACTGACTGAATTAATTTTTTTCTGCTCTGTGATTGGTTGGAATTTGTTGCCAAGGATCTTGCTGCTGAAAGTTTAATATACCACCCAAACGCTTTACTACGATGTATTTGATTCGCCGATGAATTAGATACTATACCACCATGCATGAAGAGTATTTTAACGTATAAATGTATCACACTTGCATTTTACACCCCAAGATTCAAGATGGCATTTATTGTCATATACGAGCATTAATTGTTCGCCCATCAACAAGAATAAGATGGTCAGGCGAAGGCCTATAATTATTA